CTCTGCCTCAGTCTTCTTGTTCTCCTCAACCTTTGAAGCCTTCTCCGCGTTGTTCTTCTTGCCTGACCCTTCCTGTTCTTTGCTCTTTGAAGCCTTCTTCTCCGAGCTCTCTGCTTCCTCAGTCTTCTTGTCAACCTTCTCCTCGCTTTTCTTCTTGCCCGAGCTATCCTGTTCATTGCTCTTTGAAGCCTTCTTCTCTGAGCTCTCTGCCTCAGTCTTCTTCTCCTCAACCTTGGAAGCCTTCTCCTCGCTTTTCTTGTTGCTTGAGCTAGCTTTTTCCTTGCTCTTTGAAGCCTTCTTTGAGCTCTCTACCTCTTTGGTCTTCTTTTGGTCCTCATCCTTTGGAACTTCACTTGTCTTTGCCTCCTTGGTCTTCGTACTGTCCTCAACCTGTTCCCTTTTTCTTTTTTTCCTTTATCGTCTTCTCCTCCTCACTCTTCTGCTTCTTGTCCCTCTCCTGATGCTGCTCTTCTGCTTGGGAGTCCCGTGGCCTCTTCGAGTCCTGAAATAAGTGTTCACAAGTATGATGACCAGGATTCCCTTTTCCCATGGGAACACGAATTGTCTCAATCAGGTCTAGGGGTCCTTAGGTGCCATGTGCACAAAATGAGCACAAAACCCGCGAGTTCAAGATTGAGCCCCTCCGGTGACACGGTAATGACACGCATCATGTCCTAGTGACACTAGTCCAACGGTACTCTTCAGAGCCAAAGGGGCCTCTTCAGGGCACCCCTCTGACACGCAAATGACACGCGGTGACACGCATGTTTTTGCTGTTTTGTTTCAATTTGACAGTTCACGCAAATATTGTGTTCAAATGAGCGGAGACACGCATGAAATCCTTAAACAATTGTTTTCCTCGATCTTATGCCACCACTCCAAATTCACCACCAGCCACACACCAGGCCACGCGATGCTCCCATTTGGCATGGGCGCCCTACTGGTGAGGGAAAGGGTGGCGAAAGGGCACTATAGGTGGATGACTTATATACCTTTAGATCCGACGCCACCATGCTTTGCTGGTGCCCTGAAGTAAGTCATCTAAAGCCCCCTCGTCATCACTGACATTTGGATCACCATCCACGATCTCGAAGTCCTGGAGTGGTGAGCGGTGGAAGATGACCATGATTTGGTTTAAGAGATCTATGTTTAATTTTCATATTCCAAAGAATAAACCAAAACAACACCCCAAACAGTGCAGGTGCACACCTACTATGGCCACTGGTCCTTCTGCAAAGGGGCAGCGCTGGGTTTTAGCAATGCTGCAATAGCAAATCCAAAGGCCGATGGGTAGGCTGCGGATCTTTGCAGCGCTTTTGTTTTACCATTCTTAGCTCCCAACACGAGGCTGCCACAACTTGTTCTAGGGTATACCTGTGACCTTTCTATAGGCATGGTGGAAACACAAGTTGATTTGAGACATCCGACCGATGTAGAACATGTGGGCTTTCAAAGCTAGCCTTCAAGGGTCCAACATTTTGGTGGTTCAGCTACTTAATTGGGCCAAGACTCAATTACATATTTTGGTTGGGAGTCGGGAACCAGGTGTCCAAAGGGGAGGCTGCTGCACAAACCTATTTTCACAAATATAGTACTGTGATCATCGATCGATACCCATGCTTGGGGTGCCAGTTATGCTGTGCACAGTGGCTTGAAGCTGCGGTGGAGTGAGTGAGCTGAGGAAAGAATCAACACAGAAGATGGGGATGAAGGGAAGGGCAGGGCAGGGAAGGGAAGGGAAGGAACATGAGGAAGGAACACGAGGAAGGAGGAAGGAAGTAAGGAAGGGAGGGCATCAGGCAGGAAGGAATGAGGGAAGGAAGGAAGGGAAGGAATGAAGGGAAGGGAAGGGAAGGGAAGGGAAGGGAAGGCAAGGCAAGGCAAGGCAAGGCAAGGCAAGGGAAGGGAAGGGAAGGGAAGGGAAGGGAAGGGAAGGGAAGGGAA